GAATCACGAATGGTTTCATTTTTTTTAAACAAATTATCACGGGGAGAAATTGTTACATTTGAGTGAAATACCCAAATGTAACAATTTATCCCCGTAATAATGGCGCTACGTTGACTTCTTTATAAAGTCAACGTAGCGCCATTGTTACGGGGATAAATTGTTACATTTGGGTATTTCACTCAAATGTAACAATTTCTCCCCGTGATAATTTGTTTAAAAAAAATGAAACCATTCGTGATTCGTAACCATTTGGCTAATAAAATTACTGAACATGTGCGTATGAGGCGCGAGTCTCCGGTCTATTTCTATTAACTGTGGCGCAAGTTGTCAAACGGACAGATCATTCTATACCGAAATTCCTCCCCTTTCCTCCCTTTTTTTTAGTTATTACGTGCTGTCATTTTCGATCATTTTCTTAATAGATTAGTTTTGTTCAAGGTGATGGGAGAAGGTTCTACCTTTCTTGTTACAGTAAAACTGTTACTTGTCGATATTGTCCACATTGAAACAAAAGGAACGAGTTAGGATTCTATCTACTTTATAATTAAAATATTGTTTTCTTGTTTTCTTGTTTTGTTGTGGGTAAACGATCCACTAGAAGTAATTACTTGTTGTTAAATTTAATATTAATTTATTATGAAAAACCTAAAATATTGTTAACAATAATAGTTGTGATTGTTTTTTATAATCGTTTTACATTAGCGATATATAACGAGTTCTTTTTGGGAAAATTTCTGTGCTTTGACTTTTTTGTATTGAAAATTTGACAATTTAATATTGCACTCGTTGACATACTTCAAAAGTCGGGGCTTAACTCGAGCAACAACTTTTTTGTCTAACTTCGAGTTAAGCCCCGGGGCTTAACTCGAATAACCCAAATCGTGTTTCGTTCTTCGAGTTAAGCCCTTTTTGAAAAAGGGCGTGGTCTTGGCAAAACAGGGCGTGGTCGGGGCTTAACTCGAAAAGGGCTTAACTCGAGGGGCTTAACTCGAAGGGCTTAACTCGAAGATTCCCGACCTCTTTGTCAACATACAGTAACATTCTGCACACGCACAAATGACTGCCGCATTCAGATTTTATACGAGTGGAAAATGAACACATGGAAGACATCTTAGAACCGAATCCGCATTAAAGTCAAATATTAATCTTCAAGTCACTAATTAAAACTTTCAAGCAAATGCCAAAAGTTGGTGGAATATATAATATAGGCGTGCGTTTATAAGGCCATATAAAATAAATTCCTTGATTTCATCGCTAAATTTTAAAAACTCCCAGGAGGCGGGAGGTTTATATAGTTATATTTTATGTCAAAATATAAAAAAAAAGGTTAAAATTTAAAAAATTGGAGAGGGAGGTCTTTTTATATTTTCCCTTAAATATATTATAGAAGAACGCTATATAAGTGGATAATTGCACATGCGCTAATGAACATGCATAAGGGTCCACACAAATTGTTGTAATAAGGCTATAAGCCCATTTTTTCCTTCAGTATTCCAAGCATCCCTTAACATGTTGCAATATTAACGATAGAACAATTTTATATCGCAAAAATTCCAATATAAAATATAAAAAAACTAAATCTCTGAAGATGCTCGGTCGGGCGGTAAATTTATATTTTATAACAAAATACAAAAATATATCAACGCGGAAACCAAAATATCGTCGGGCGGTGATGAGAATCAAGGAATTTATTTTATATGGCCTAATTATCGTTCAAAAAGTCGTGGTTTTACAGTATATGTGATAAAAAATCACGTTAATTTACATAAACTTTAGCTTTGATTTTCTCGGTTTAGACAAAGTTTATTTTAAAAATTACTTCGCAAATGAACTCGTATATAAGATGAGTCATGTTTTATATGTGATAAAACACTCCTACGCGTGCTTTCAATAGTCCTTATTAATAAGAAAGCAATTGTTTATTGATATACCCCGCGTCAAAATATTCAACAGAGAAATTGACACTTTCCGGTTTCTGACAATGCTCGACCTAATTAGCATGTAGCATAAATTTTTACATTTATTTAATATAGCAACTTAATTGCAGAATTGTAATCTTTGTTTATGAAAGGATAAAAAGATTGTTACAAGTTTTACAGTTTAAACAAATGCCTGTATTCGCCGATCGATATTTCAAGCCGTTTGCTAATCGATTCAAGATATTCATAACTTGAGCACGCCCCTGCAATGAACATGGAACCACCGGTAAAAATAAATACAAAAATAAATGACCAAGCGCGACAGAAAAAATATTTGCGTATTAATTGCGAAACGTTTAATAAACAAACGCAAAATAAAAGTTGACTTTTAAGTTATTTTTTCCAGCAATGTTGCTGGGTGAGAGTTTTCAAGAAAAATTACGTTAGCAACGCATGCGTCGTCACTCGTCAATTACAGGAAAATTATCAAACTTTGTAGATGATTTGTGGCTATGCCCGTCAAGTGCCCAAATATTTTACGTTTCCCGTTAAAAAAACACAACTCTAGGTTCACAATGGTAGTAATGTGTACTTGGTATAAGGTGCCAAACTTACGAAAATTGCTATTTAATTCGTCTTATAATGTGCGACTTTGCAAACTAGTAAAAGTGTATCTTTTCAGAAAATTATTTCTCCTGAAATCCTGGATAGATGTTCCTGATTTTTTGTTGTAAGAAACTATAACCACTGATTGTTAAAATATTTTGATACATAAGACTCTCACTTACCCACTTGCTTCGCGAGAGTCGTACGAAAATCTGCTATTTACGGCAGTTTCAGGACGCCATTTTGGACCAGTCAAGGTGTAAAATATCGATGGGCCAAATTTTACAAAAAAAGCTTTTTAACCGATTTCTTTTTTCATACAAGTACCTGAAAGGAAAATTATTGTGAAAAATTTGAAGACTGTCATATTTCCTTCCAGAACTGGGTGCCCGGTTTTTACAGAGACAGCCTCTTAAGATGGCAGTTCAATTCACATAACCTGCACTGCAAACGGGGTTGATTTTGCCGGATCACTTTTGAACAAGAAGGACATTGTTCATTATTACCAATTTCCGTAAAAGGTCCAGGATTTAAACTAACATCACCCGCTAGCAGTACCAGATATCCAGCACACATAGACAACTTTATCAAATTAATTCCACTCACAGCCTTCTGATAAGAGGACACGCTGGCCATAGTTGAACTTCTAGTTAATCCAGAGTTACGGCTTAGATATGAACGTATATCTGCTTTAGACACTACTATAATGGACGTAATATCTTTAGCCGTACCGTCATATGCTTTCGGAAATAAAACATACGAGAAGAACAACAATATTACCAAAAAGTACGAGAGCTCAAACATGCTGCCACCGGCCGCCACCGGCCGCTGCCACCGGCCGCCATCTCTGTACAATAGATGTTCTTTGATTGACAACCATCCTAACGCGTTTAAGGTGGCTCGATATAGTTATCACAAAAACCCTGTTCAAGAATCGCGAACTCAAAACCGGTTGACCATTTTTACGTGCAGGTCACGGAAACTGATTAACAAAATGAAAGAACTTCCAAAATGACCTGACGTGAGCAGTTGCTCGCGCCATCTCACGCCATTGCGCATGTTCTATAGCGTTTTATGTCAATTGCTGACGTCATTAGAATTTTCCATTTTAGAAAAACAATGCGCTATATCTCTTTATTTTGTCTGGTGACCTATGTTCAAATTTTGCATGCTGTATTGCACCGCTAACAATATTCATTATACAAAAAATAAAAAAATTCTGTAATGCCAAAAAAATGTTACCAAAGAATATGACATTTTCGCATTTTCCAAAAAAATGGCATTACAGAAATTTTTTATATTTTGCTAATTGTTAGCTTTTCGTCCAAGTAAAATAATGCACGAAAAAAAATTGGGGGTCACCATGCTTTTTTTCCAACTATACGAGACGATAGGCCATTTTGGAGTCAATTTCGTACACGTATGTCGTCATAGCAACGAACTATCTGTTACTAAAACGAATATAATTTGAAAGTAGAGTTATCAAAATATATAAAAAACCCAATATCTGCTGAATAAATCCTAAAAATGCGTAGTTTGAACATGTCAAAGTGTTAAACACCTGAATTTTTGAAAACTGTATCGAGCCACCTTAATGTCGGTGATATATGATCATACTTAGGCACCCCTGTAATTAATCGGGCTGCGTAATTTCGGATTAATTGGATCTTTTTTATGTTGCCATCTGACGTATTAGACCATACTGTTGAACAATAGTTAATTTTACTCATGACTAATGTATCGATGATTGTAGCTAGTGTTGACTGATCAAAGTTGTGTTTCACGCGACCAATCTGACGCAATTTTGAGATACACGATGAGGACAATGCTTGTATATGCTTGTCGTAGGTTAGATGGGAATCCAAAAGCATACCCAAATCCTTAACTTCTGTCACAGGTGTAAGACTTTCTCCCATAAAATTAATATGGACGGGAGATTCCAATTGATTCATGAGTTGCCGTGTACCAACCACCAACATTTTGTTCTTTCCTGGGTTTACAAGAAGACTGTTGTTACAACACCATTAAAAAATTCTGTATAGATCCTCTTCTATATGCAGTAACGAGTGTTCCATATGCGACATTGAAAACGATAAAAATGTTTTCGAATCGTCAACATACGATTCAAGACTACAACTGTTGGGAACTGAAGACAAGCTATCTGTGTATATATTAAATAAAAACGGCGATAGAACAGAGCCTTGAGGAATTCCGTGCGACAATGCAACAGGCGCCGCAGAGGTAGTTCCAATCCTAACATACTGCCATCTGTCAGACAAGTAACTTTTAAACCACTTATGCACTGCAGAAGATACGCCTAAGTTTAGAATTCTTTGAAGAAGCATGTTGTGATCAACACTATCGAAGGCTTTCGACATATCCATCAATATAACTATAGATAACTGTTTATTATCCATAGCTTCCAACAATATGTCTGTCACTGCAATGTTAAGTGTTTCGGTAGAAATTTTTTCTGGTTACCACTTTGATGTTCCGTCAATAATCTGTGGTTTGTTAGATGTTCTGTATGCTGATTCAGTGCGACTTTGTCGCATATTTTTGACAAACATGACAGCAGTGAAATCGGTCGATTATTTGAAGCGATTTCAGGATCCCCTTCCTTGTGTAGCGGTACCACTTCTGCTATCTTCCACATTGAAGGATATGTTGACGTCATCAAGGAACAGTTGATAATATCCGTAACATGATCTAAAATCACTTCAAGTGAATCTTTAATGAATTGAATATTTATCTTATCGGCACCTGGAGCTTTGATTGATGGACTATTTAAAATAATTGTTCTAACTTCATCAGGTGTGACTGATCTAAATTCAAACAGATCAAGAGAAGATCGGTGTCTTGCAGGTGGTAAAGCAGTTGCTATCTGAATGTTGTTAACTTCCGCAAGTCTCTTGACCTTGTCGGCTGCAATCTCCCCACAGAAGCAAAATATATATTCATTAAATTCATTGTCTAATTTTTTGTGGTCTTTCTGGTAAACGGGTTTTTCTGTATCTTTGCTCGGTAGACACCCCCTAATCACTTTCCACATAGATCTTGAATTACCTTCATATTCCTCAATTTGATTCCAGACAAAGTTGGACTCTGCTGCTCTTAAAGATGTTTTTATAGAATTCCTAAGTTGCCTATAGACATCCCAATCTTCCGCGTTACGTGAGAGGCGAAAAATTCTCAGCTTTTTGTCTCTCAGTTTCATCGTGCACTTTAATTCTTTATTAATAAACTGGTTAAGTCTGCCTTTAATTCTGATGTGTTTGATAGGCGCGTGTTTGTCCAGAGTATTTATGAACAATTGATTGAAATGATCAATTTTCTCATTTACATCATTAATACGATAGGTTTCATGAAACGGAAGTTGAGACAATTCTGCCTTGAAACTCTCGGAGTTGTAGTTCTTAAAACTCCTCACATCCTTGTATTCAAGTCGAGGCTTATCAGCTCTAAGTTTAAGTGTACAGTATATCATAGAATGGTCGCTAATACCAATGTCAACAACCTCGCTACTTTTAACTTTAGAGGAGGACGAAATCATAATAACGTCAAGTAATGAACTTGTTTGAGATGCAATTGTCGTTGGATCTTTAATAAGTTGTGTCAGGTGTAGTTCGGAGCAAGTATCTAATAATATTTTAGACTCATAACAAGATGTTTTAAGGAGATTGCAATTCATATCGCCCAAAATAATGATCTCCTTTCCTAGTAACAAAGCCTCAATGAATTTAGGTTTAAGTTCATCCCGTGTACATGTAACTGGGCAGTCAGGTGGTCTATAAATAACGCAAACGATCATAGATTTGTTTTTATTCACTTGTATTTGTAACCAAAGTTGATGGAAACCTACTGGAGAAATATACGAGAGATTTTTCAAAACTTTTGTCTTGAAGTCATTACGGACGTAAATACATACGCCGCCACCCTTTTTGTGCTTACGATCAAGTCTGTATATGTTGTATTCCTGATTTTTTACCTCGGCATTAGTCGTGGATGAATTTAGTAACAATAATAATAATAACAATAATTTAATATTTATATCGCGCAAATTTACATTGAGATGGGATAACTTTATTTAGCCATGTCTCTGATAATGCCAAGATATCTATTTTCTCATCAACGACTAGTTCTCGTACTTGAATTAAATGATTTCTGTTTCTAATTGACTGCACGTTGAGATGGGATAACTTTATTTTATTAAATGAATGTTTTTGGTTATTCATTACGGTGTTTGGGTTGACTGCATGCGAAATGTTTACGGGTATTATATTTTGAGGATTACGCCTCATCCGCCTAATCCTCTGCCATCGCGGAGACATTCTGATGGGAATTTGAGCCATTATACATACGTTGAAAGGATTCCCTCTGGGGGGCTGTCGTTTCTACCGTCAGTATAGATGTTGGTTTCCACGGTTTGCATTTTACAAACTTGGGCCAAAAGGTTTCGTTTTCAATCAAGGGGCATACATTTGCTTGGACATGAAGTTTAGCAGAAATTGAACCTTTCCGTTTACTTTTAAATAGAGATAAATATGTTGGTATTACCTTTCGCTTTTCCAAATAACCATAAACTCCAAATAACATAGAATATCCTGATCATTAACATTCTCAGCAATCCCGGACAAGAAGAACTTTTTAATTCTATAGTCAGGGAGGCCAGAAAAAACCTGCAATATACAGGAAACCTGGATGGGGCCAAGACAACCAGCAGCTTCCCCACCAAGCTTCTATCTTGCAAGATCTTAATTGGAGGGTTGGTAACAAGACAAACAAAGCTCACCAACAAGGCACATTTTTTAATGTAAATGTGTTCATTGAGACGTTTTGCACAACTGTCGGGAATGCCATTAGAGGCTAAATGTTAAGCCAACACAGTCACAATAGTTTGGGTTTTTCTCTCTAAATCACTTTATAAATCACAAAATCACTAGCTCTAAATTCACAGTCTCAACAGTTACGCTATCACTTAATCACTCCTATAAATTTGATACTCTACCTAATTAACTTATGACGCATGCATTATTTGATTGACAGTTTATTAATAACTAAATATATATTATCCTAATTAACTAATATTACCACAATTCTCAACACACTCCCCCTATTCGTTTTCTGTAAAACGAATATGAATAAATTGTTTTTTCGTTCACCGTCCATAATGATTGTTCGACCATATATGTAAATTTGACTGTTCGTAACCTAACAAAACTTAAAATATATTGTATTACTCAAGATATATTGTATATATATATATATATATATATATATATATATATATATATATATATATATATATATATATATATATATATATATATAATTAACGTTCTAATTCTGTTTGTCACCTGCTATGTCCTGGATTTGACATTCTGCTATCGCTGCAGCATTTCTCTTTGGTCTGAACTCGGGTACATCGGCTCTCAGTTCTGTTTCTCTTGGTCTCGACTCTGGCGTCTTTACGGCTACGTCACAGGACAGTTCCATAGGGTATAGATGTTGAACTGCCCGTTCTAATGTGTTCTGTCCTACTCGTAGCTTCACTCCCCGTACGATACCGTCTTTACCCACTACGAGCCGTTCTACAACTCCGATTTTCCACTTTCAACGATTCTTTTCCTCGCCTTTTACGATAACAACGTCTCCGATCTTTATACTTAAAAGTTTACCGCGATATTTCATGTTATGCCACTCTCGGAGAGCCTTCAAATATTCAGAAGACCATCTTTTCCACAACACGTCTTTACATCGCCGGATATACTTGCTCTCTTGCGGAGATCGGGATTCTCGATTTGATGCTCTGCTTGTTCTGGTAATATGTTTGGTCGGCAGAATTGAAACGTATTCGGTGTAAGCAAGGGCAGCTGGACGTCTTCTTCTGCGTAGCTGAGAGGTCGGTTGTTTAAAGTCACTTCCACGTCCAGGACGACATCTTCCAACTCAGTCCAGGAGAGAAACCCGTTACCAATGGACTTTTACATAGCTTGTTTTACAAGTCCAATCAACTGCTCGTACTGTCCGCCCCACCATGGAGCTCGACCCATGTTGAATTGCCACTTGAGCGACATCTTAGCCAGGAAATCATTAAACTTTCCATCCTTCATAACTTGCTTTATCCACTTCGCCCTGGCAACAAATGTCTTCTAGTAAGTCTTCTCAGTCGTGGGATCCAGTGACTCTCTCGTACCTTAGCCATAGTCAGACCCACTCCCCCATGGAGGGTCACATTGTGAGCATGTTCCACTAGTTTCTCGGTGTACATGTCATTGTCTGGGAGGTAGGTTGGAAAGTCTTCTCGTATTCTGGCATGACATTCAAGAATGCCACCATCACTCGGTTTAAGGTTTAATCTCGCACGATCTTCTTCGAATTCCGGTGTATCTCGATTTCTTCTTTGGACCTTTATTATCCACCATGCTTCTCGTTCTTGGATCTCTTCGGTTGACAATGGGCCACGTATGACGTATGCTTTCATTCACTCTACCAGCGTTACGAACAAATCTCAAGACCAACGCACAAATTCTCAGAGTTCTCCAAAAATTACACTTCTTCAGCAGTTGATCAAACACGTCAGGTTGAGGAATGGCGATGTTGAAGATCTCTCTAATCGGTTTGGTTTCCGCTGTACTCTCCTTATTGGCACTTGTCACGATATCTGCTGGCCAGGTTTCTTTAGTTGTTAGCCACTCCTGGCCTTCCCACCAGAGGCGATCTGTTTCACTGACTTTTCCACCTCTGCTTCCAAGGTCGGCCGGATTTTCTTGGGTCGGGACGTGGTTCCATTTGATGTAATCTTTCTCTTGGATCTTGCGCACGCGATTTCCCACGAACTGTTTGAAATCTCCCCCTCCGCGTATCCAATGAAGAGCCACTGTGCTGTCCAACCAGCCGAATACTTGGTTCACGGAAAATCCCACCAACGCTTCTCGAACATCATGGACTAAGTTGGTGGCCATGTGCGCCGAAACCAGTTCCAGACGAGGTATGATTATGTTTTTCTTGGCCAATCGCGATTTCGCAGCCACAAGACCTTGTGATGTACCACTTGCTTGTCGAACGACCGCGATAACAGTTGCCGCCACGCCTTGCCCACTTGCATCGCCGAATGTGTGCAATTCGATTTCGTTGATGGCCTTCTTGGTGCTTTGCTAGAGTTCGGGGTGCTCTCACGTGATCCGGAAGATTCTCTTTCCAGGTACACAGCCAGAAATCTCACAGGCCTGTCGCAAGCTGTTGATTTTACCGGCTTGCGGTAAGTTGTCAACAAGTCGCGACAGGTCTGTTGGTTTCGTCAGGCGGTAACAGGCTTGCGGTAACAGGTCTGTCGCAAGCTGTTGACAACAGAGCCGTAGCGACTTGTTGAAACAACCCGCTACAAACCTGTTACTAACAAGAGATAACAGGTCTGATAGAACAACTTGCAGCAAGTCTGTTGAAATCAACAGGTCTGTTCCAACCTGTTCCAACAGACCTGTCGCGAGCTGTTTTTGTCAAGTCTGCAGCAAGCTTGTTATCAGACTTGCGACAAACCTGTCCACAACAAACAATTTTTGTCCTGTCACAACAAGTTTCAACCAGCCTGTTGTTGGGATACAAACCGAAAATGTGAGTAAAGAGATATAAAATCGCACGAAATGGATACTTCCGGCTTCACTTTCTCATTTAATCATTGTCATTGGTGGCAATATTAAATCACATAGGAGAGATTATAGTCCATAGTATCTATTCTCTGTTTATTATAAAATGTAAAAGCCGCTGTTTTATTTTTTTTAAAAAAGTTCCGATTTCCAAAATCCAAATTCCAATTTGCTGACGTGTGCTATCGCTATATTTCATTAATCTGATTGGATAAACGCGTGTGCACACGTCATCATTCCTCGTTGCAATTGGGCGAAATATTACAAACATATCAATCACGTAATCATGTTTAGTTGTTTTTCAATTTTGACTGTGATTTTGAGCCAAACAAAATTTCAACAACTGCCTCAAACAAAATCAAACGAGTTCAAAGCTGTTTTGATTTTTGAAGAAACTGTGGCAATGAGAATACAAGATCTACTAGAGCTTAAGAAATGAACAATACATGAACAACCGAGTGTTAACTGCAACGTTCGTCATTGTTGATATGAACATGAAATTCGTTATATAATTTCTTTCCAATTTCAAGTGAAATCTGCGAGCGAGGAAGACGCCTTATTGAAGCTTTGTGTTATGGTATGTACTGTTTTGAAGAAAAATATGCAAGTAGGTTGTCATATTTCGGTCGTACTTAAAGACAATTAATTTTGAAAATTGTTTACGATAAGAACCTTTCTTGAATTTGTCGTATTTTTTCGGCTGTTTTGCTCAAAAATTATCTCGCAAGTTTGTTTATAAAACTTTATATTCATATATAAAAATTATTTCGCAAGTTTGTTTATAAAACTTTATATTTCAAACTTCTATTTCACGAAACACTACAACCGAAATATGGCAACCTGTTTGGCCGTTTTTTTTTCAAAATAGTGGATACACAAGCTTCATAAGGCGCTTTCCTCGGTTTGCAACAGGTCTGTCGCAAGTTGTTGAAAACAGCATTGCTGCAGTTCTGTCACAACAGCTTGTAACAGACCTGTTGAAAACAGCATTGCAGCAGCTCTGTCACAACAGCTTGTAACAGACCTGTTGAAAACAGCATTGCAGCAGCTCTGTCACAACAGCTTGTAACAGACCTGTTGACAGGCCGTTGCAGGTCTGTCAGAACAGACAGGTACAAGGCGAGCGAACGCATCCAGATATCGGCTTGTTGACAACAGGATTTAACAGATCTGTTGCAGATCTGTTCCGACTTGCGCGTTTCTGGCTGTGTAGACCATCTAACTTCCAACTCGTTTGGAAGTTTGTTGTTCCAAGGTAACTTGGCGTCGCAACAATACCGGTAGAGGAATTTTCCCTGCAGTGTCACTGGTGCGATCAGTCCGAGGGGATCGTAGGTTTTGTCTATTTTACCGAGTATTCCTCGTTTGGTTGCTTGTGCTTTTCCGGACGGTATCTCGATTTTTATGACGTCATTTTTCTTGTCCCAGGAAAGACCGAGTAGTGCTGATTGGCCCGATTTGACCCCAAGCTGCTGTTTCGCGAATGTCTCTCCAGTGGACGATGGTAAATGGGTTTGTACGTCTTCAAGGGCAGGGACGTTTGAATGCCACTTATGGAGCTGAAATGTTGCGTCGTTAAAGATCTCGCGGGCCGTTTCTTTGAGTTGTTGAGCTTTCTCGATTGTTTCTCCACCGCTGACCAAATCGTCGACATACAAACTCTTGTTGATTTCTTTCACGGTTTCTGGATGTTGTTCTACTGTACGTGCTTCTCGATATGTTGTTGGATAACACCACCGAGTAGGAATGGGGAAGTAGACAGTCCGAACAGGGCCATATATGTCCAATATAGCCATCGGTTGTCAGGTGGTGAAGATGGTGTAAGATGGTGTCAGATGCTTTGTTTGTCAGACGCTTGTAGTGTGGTGTTGGATGGTGTAGGATGGTTCAGCTGAACAGCTGTTGACAAGGTGGTGAAGATGGTTTAAGATGGTGAAGATGGTTTAATGGGGGAGGGGTGTCAATTTTTAACCTACTTGTGTAAATATAGTGTTGCCTCGTTCTTTCAAAACCACGTATATATCAATAAAACCTACAAGACCAACGACGAAAGCGTTATGGCTAATTGTACATATATAGTGTTGCCTCGTTCTTTCAAAAACACGCTTCGTATACAGTAAACTGCAGTAGCAAACGCGTCAACGCATTACTATACAATCTTGGACAACGTCAAAAAATGTGTATTTATACGTTTCATATGTATACATGCTTATATTCGCTTTGACATTTTAGACATTTCCGGGCAGGAAACTATAAATTATAACAGTTATAACATGCACTAGCGGGCTGTAACGCAACCATGCTATGTCAATGACAAATACATGCATAAGCCAGCAGGGTTCTTGTTTTAAACTTGTGGCACTTTATATAACTGAATGTAGCAATTCATTGCATTATTACCTTTTACGGCTTCAAATTCGGCCGGAAACTACAATGACAAATAGAAAACAGCAGGCATCCGACAACCATCTGACACATTTCGACCATCATACACCATCTGTACCATCTTCACCATCTTACAACCCTTCCCTGTATAACCACCCTACACCATCATACACCATCTGACAACCATCTGACACACTTCGACCATCATACACCATCATACACCATCTGACAACCATCTGACACACTTCGACCTTCATACACCATCTGTACCATCTTCACCATCTGACAACCCTTCCCTGTATAACCACCCTACACCATCATACACCATCTGACACACTTCGACCATCATACACCATCTGTACCATCTTCACCATCTGACAACCCTTCCCTGTATAACCACCCTACACCATCATACACCATCCGACAACCATCTGACATATTTCGACCATCATACACCATCATACACCATCTGACAACCATCTGACAATTTTCTGACACACTTCAACCATCATACACCACCGTACACCATCTTCACCATCAGGCATCAGATACCTGTATTGGACATTACTCCGAAATGCTACACACATGGTTTCTCGCCTTGGAGAAACCCAAATCGGTAACTAGAATCGTTTTCTTGGATTTTTCCAAGGTATTTGACCTTATCGATGATAACATATTGCTGAATGACTTTAAATCTGTTGGAGTTCGTCCTGCTTTACTACCATGGTTAGCCTCGTACCTATCCGACCGGTTACAGAGGGTAAACATAGATGGATCGATATCGTGTTTTAAAAAGATCAACGCAGGGGTACCTCAAGGAAGTAAAATCGACCCGATAGCATTTATTACCAAAATTAATAAACTACCAGATTTGGCACTCACTGACAAAAATTCAGGAAAAGAACATGTTTCAATTTTTATGCACGATACCACCCTATCAGAGATTCTCAATATAAATAACCCTGAAACCCAGCCAGTGAGCAACATCCAAGCAAATGTTGAAAGAATTTCAAAATTTTCAAGAGAGAAAAACATGAGGTTGAACTTGAAAAAAACTAAAGAAATGGTCATCGACCTTCGAATTATGAAATCTGAAATACCAGTGATTACGATAGACAACATTCCTATTGAAAGAGTACAATCCCACAAGCTATTAGGCATTTGGCTTCAATCAGATCTCAAATGGCATACTAATACGTTTTTATTATTAAAAAGGTCCGGAAACGCTTATATTTTTTAAAGGTGTTAAAGAAATATGGCGCACCAGTAAAAGATCTATTAAAGTTTTATTGTTCAGTGATTCGATCGGTTTTGGAATACGGTGACATATTATGGCATGGAGGCCTAACGTTATCACAAAGTCAAGATATTGAAAGAATCGAAAAACGTGCTCTAAGGATTATCACTCCTGACCTAAGTTATGAAGATGCTCTTGCTTCGTCTAAACAACTTCCACTTAATCAGAGACGGGACATACATTGCATTGACTTAATTAAAAACATGTCCTCCCCGTCACATAAATTACACTAATTATTACCTGTGAAAGTGGGAAACATTAGAAATAGGGAAACTAGATCCAATAGAAACAAATTTTATAACCTTAAAAGTAGAACTGATCGTTTTAAGAATAGTCCACTAGTCTATGCTATTGATAAATACAATAATAATATATAATTCTTACTAGATGTAAATAGATATAGTTTTAATAACATTTTAATAGATTAGTAGTAGTACCTATGTAAATAGATGACAATTAAGTTATCTTATTCCATGTATACTATTAAAACCAAGTATTAAATTGCAGCGTTTAGACCCCCCCCCCCCCTGTGTACGAAATAGCGTGTTTTAAAATGGACCATTTGATGGTATAATCCTGATTGTTTTCTTTTAATTTCCAAATATGTTTCGAAAGTTCCATTTTATTTCAGTCTTTTTTATGACGAAAAGATGAAGTGTGGTTAGCGTACGTTCTTTTAAGAATGTAGTCGCTGTCATACCAATGTAGTGTTTATAGTGTCGTTCGTGTTGTTCGTTGTGACTGTAGCTTTGTAAATAATGTTGTCGCAGTTACAGTTGTCAGTTTCCGTATTCTGTGATTGGCTGTTCCTAATTACATGTGCGCTGGTTTGGTGATTATAGACTTCACGTTGTTCATGCAACTATAGCTTATTTTTAAAGTGTTTCTGTTGAAAATCTTGTGTAGTTTGTGCTATAATGGAAAGTGTTTGTCAATTAAACTTAAGAATTCCCGTCCTATGTTCGTGTTAACACTCTTACTAAATGGTGGGTTGAACCAAATTATGTTACGTTGCCTATTCCGACGTGTCCGTTGCGATGCATCCTGAGTGTACGTAAATTTGTGGTCAAAGTTACCATGTCTAAGGGCGTTCCGGTAAATAGGCGTAGATTCCTTAAATGTTTGTTCGTCCGATGAGAGAAGTGCAATACGTTTGTTAATAGCCTAGATAAACTGTTGCTTCCGTCTTTTTTTGTCCATAATTTGCCGTTGCCGAAAAGTAGAGATTTTCATGCATGTTTTATTTTTGAAACATCGTTTTCGGTGATAGTAGCCAAATCAGAAGCCCAGGCCAATGCTTTGTTTAAAAGTTTTTCGGAAATGGATGGGTAAAAATCTACAATGTCAAACGAAATAAAACTGTGCCTGTCTTGATCGTTTATATTGCCAAATCATGAAATTACTTGTTGCGTATTCCTCCATTGATTTGAATTCAGTTTTTGTCTCCAATTGGAATTGATTTGTTTATTTGTTTGGCTATTATAAGAGCAAATCCGCCCGGTTACTAGACAAAACTAGAAAAGACTTACACAAAATTTTCGAGCAATTTGACCTGAAAATCACCGCCGAAGTAAATTTGAACGTTGTAATTTTTTAGATGTTACTTTCGACCTGAACAACGCAAAACACAAACCGTACAGGAAACGCAATGACGATCCATTGTACATCAACAGACACTCAAACCATCCACCAAGCATTACAAGACAATTACCTACGGCTATCAACAAATGCATTGCACTGCATGCTCTCATCGGACGAACAAACATTTAAGGAATCTACGCCTATTTACCAAAACACCCTTAGACATAGTAACTTTGACCACGAATTTATACGTACACTCATGATGCATAGCAACGGACACGTAGGAATAGGCAACGCAACATAATTTGGTTCAACACACCATTTAGGAAGAGTGTTAACACGAACATAGGGCGGTAATTCTTAAGTTTAATTGACAAACACTTTCCATTACGGCACAAACTACACAAGATTTTCAACAGAAACACTTTAAAAATAAGCTATAGTTGCATGAACAACGTTAAGTCTATAATCACCAAACACAACGCACATATAATTAGGAACAGCCAATCACAGAATACGGAAACAGACAACTGTAACTGCGATAACAAAAACACTTGCCCACTACCGAAACAATGTAAACCAACAACATTATTTACGAAGCTACAGTCACAACGAACAACACGAAGGACACTAAACACTACATTGGTATGACGGCGACTACATTTAAGGAACGTTATGCTAACCACACTTCATATATTTTCGTCATAAAAAAAGACTCAAATAAAACGGAACTTTCGAAATATATTTGGAAATTAAAAGAAAACAATCAGGATTATACCATCAAATGGTCAATTTTAAAACACGCTATTTCGTGAACAGGGGGATCAAAACGCTGCAATTTATGTTTGGAAGAAAAACTTTGCATTTTGAAAGGCAAAAACAAAGACAATTTACTCAATAAAAGAAGCGATGTTTTCGGAAAGTGTCGTCACAAAAATCGATTTCGAGT